CTTTAAGGGCTCCTTTAAGGGTTCCTTTAAGGGCTCCTTTAAGGGCTCCTTTACGGCTTCCTTTAAGGGCTCCTTTAAGGCTTCCTTTAAGGGTTCTATAGGGGTTAGAGTATCAGGCTCCATATATGGTACCACTATGCCCCCTGAACCTCGAAAGTCCTCAAGCCCTTGACCCTGAGCCCTGCACTCCCCAAGTGCCCTTTAATTTAGGGTCTTATAATAAGGGTAAAAGGAGGGACCCTTAATAAGGTTTAGGATTTAGGGTTTAGGGTTTATAATAGTGGGTATTTAGGGGTGTATTTGAGGGGAATTGGGGAGTCTAGGTGAGCCTGAACCCTAAACTAGGCCGTAGATCCTAGACTCTAGAACGTTAGAACCCTAAACTTCTTAAACCCCTAAAACCGAATTAAACCCAAAAAAGAGGCGGCGGCGCGGTGGATGCTCTTCACCTCGTTCGTGAGGTCGGCTGGCTCGGGGGCCTCCACCAAGGGAGAGTGGCCCTTAAACAAGAGGGTTTGGGTTTAAGGCTTTAGGGGTTTAGGGGTCCAGGGTTTAGGGGTCTAGGGGTCTGGGGTTTAGGGTTTAGGGTTCTGTCAAGGGTATTATTAACGGGTTGATTTAACGGAGCCCTAAATCCTAAACTCGAAGTCCAATACAGGGTTCTTTTCCTAGAATGGAAGAATCTCTCGTTACTCTAGGATTCAGGCACGGACCCTGAGATGTAGTACTTTCTGTCGATAAGCGCAGTTGCTTATGCACTTTATTTTAGAAGTTTGTGGTAGAGGGTGTGGGGCTTTTAGACAGTACAGCCACAGACACAGCAGCAGCAGCAACAACAACAACAACAGCAACAGCAGAGCCAGAAGCAGCAACATCAAGAACCTAGGACAAATCCCCAAGTCCCAAACTAGACCCCTGAACCCCCTAAAGCCTAAACCCCTAAACCCTAAAGCCTAAACCCCTAAAGCCGCAACCCGGTAACCCCCAAACCCACCATGAAGCCAGAACCAGGACCCCTAAACCCTCAACCCTAAAGCCTTAAACCCTGAACCCGAAACCGCTAAACAACCCTAAACCCCTCAACCCTAAATCCTTAACACTTAAACCCTAAACCCCTGAGCCCCTACAACCTGAACGCTTAAACCCTAAACCCTAAACCCCTAAACCCTAACCCCTAAACCCCTAAACCCCTAAACCCTAGCGAAACGTGATGTGTCCCAAACGCAGGCCCCATGGTAGCCCTTTCTGGAGAGTGGGCTGTCGTGGGGCCTGGGTTTTTGCGCTTCGTAAATTTATAGAAGATGTTTCCATGTATAGGCATATATATATATATATATATTTATATTATATCATATCTGTCTCCAAGTTGCGACTGCATCTCTCCAATATACCTTGGCTGTGGGTTGGCTTCAAGAAAACAAAAAACAGGCAAGTCATGCTTGCCAGATTTACTAATTACAAGTTACTAGTTTACCTGCACATGCAAGACGACATGCATGCACTGCTTTTCATACCGGCACTGCTAGTCCTAACGCTTCGAGCTTGGCCTTTTCAAGACCTTGCTTGCCGGCTTCTTACTGCAGGAATACGGCCTACTGGATTTCTTTGCCTTCTTCACAAAAGAGGCCAAGTAGTCAGTGCTCTTGGACTCCACAGCTTCATTATGAAGTTTGCAAAAATACAACACCTTAAAGGCATGTCTGGACGGTGTGCAACCATTTAGGACACGAGCATAACCTCTGAACCAACTGAAGACCTGTTCGGCCGCACTGCTGTTGGTGCGTTTGAACCTTAGGCTCAGACGCTTCTGATACAGCGGGTTACATTTGCATGTCTTCGTGTGGCCATGCGCGTGAAAAGCGTCTACTGCCCAGTACTTCACTTGGTTCATAACCTTGAACTGGCGAGCATGGGGAAGGAATGAACAGGCTCGGTCGACGATGACCCCGTCGAGGTTGGGAAACTTGGGAATGACATCCATGAGCGCGGCCTCCAGAACTGCATTCCCCTCCGGCTGGGACATGTGTTTCGCCCAGAGGATGCGCTGATCGGCAGGGTTCACCACCATGAACCACCCATGACCGAACGGCTTTATGGCATCCTTGCCACGTTTGCCAGGATTGCCGGCGTGCCGGTGGCTGTTAGCACATTTCATATGTACTTTCGCGTGGCCGTCTGCCACCACCTCTGTGACGGTCTTCCTGTTGTGAGGAGGTAGTACATGATGGAGCACGTGGTGTTCGTATATCTTGAGAGTCTCCGGTGACAACTCCTTCCCTATGACGATGTCCAAGTGTCTGTCGATGGGATACAACTCGGTCAATGCCGTGTAATAGACGATCGCAGTGGCGTACGTCTTTCTCCACTGGCCTGATAGCTTCTTGGTGTTGAGACCAAAGGTGTGACGATACACATCCTGTACCGCCCTCGACGATACACATGCCCGAAACTCCATTCTGGCATGGTACTCCAAGAAAATCGAGCTAAAGCCGACCTTGTTGGAAATGAATAAAGCACGAGCCTTCTTCACGTCGATGGGGTTTGCCGTGTTCACCTTCTCGGAATCTTGGACTGAGAAGTTCGGACCGAAAGTTCTCCGACAGGCATATGAGGTACATCTCCACGTCCGTACCTTGATCTTGATCCGGCCAAGCATGTCATAGAGCGTAGATTCGATCTCGTGAGATGGGGACAGGCTTCCTCCGCAGCGGCATTTCTTCAAATGCGTTTCGAAGACCTGAAGCTCATTCATCACGGCCGCCGGACGCTTCATTGGCATTGTGCTTATGACTGTAGACCCACCCCTCTACAGAAACACGATGCCTAGAGCCAGTCCGAATATGATGCGAGTATAATGGAAGCTGCAATGCAAGATAGGTTCGGCGTCATAAAGTGGAAGCACATGCAACATGTACTCTGTCACTGTTTTCCTCTGAGTGAACCGCGATCGGTGAGCTGTGAGAAGTCAAAACTATTCCAATCAGGCATTGTAATCTGGCGACAATGGCTCGCCATCGGAGTCGTCCATGTCAATCCTGGCTTGTTTGGCCGGCGGGGATGCGATGAGAGGACTGGATGACATACCTCCAGGGACTGAATCGGGAGGATTAGAGGCCATTGCGGGAGTAGAAGGACGCGGAGTCATGAGATCCGGCTCTGTGAAATCTCCCTCTGCCCAGCGATCGTAAGTGGCACCCCTGCGCAGGTATTCCTTCTCCTCTGGCGAGGCAAGCAATTCAGAGACGAAGTTCGTCTCTTCCTCCACGTATCGATTAAAGTCCTGGTACTTGGTGTGCTGTCCCTTCTTGTAGTGGTCGTAATGCGGCTTGTTGGTTGGCTGTAACCAATCTTCCGTAATCCCACTGTTGTTGATGCAATGGATCCTTTGGCTTTGGTGTTCCGAAGCCAACCGTACATAGATCGCGTTGTTGCCGGCAATGATCACAGAAGCCCTCTTCAAAGTAGCCATGATGTGAGGCATCTGGGCATCATTTAAAGCCGGCTTGAACATAGCCAAGAACTGCTTCCAAGTGATCATAGGCAAGCCAACATACTCCGGTTCCTTCTCAGGGGACCATTCATTGTTAAGAAGAACCCGGCACTGATTCCTGACAAACTTAGCTGCGCGATAGCGTGCATCCACCAGACCATTCTCGCCCACGTCCAGAAACGATTTGATATCTTCGACATTGATGGAGGGAAGGAGCGGATCGTCCAAGATGACAGGGATGTGAATCTCCCCGGGTCGTTCTCTGAATCCATCGATCTGTTTGGAGCGTCGCCATCCCGGGAAGTAGCCGTCCATATTGCGGGCCTGTATCAGGTAGCGAGCCACGGCCATGACCATGATGATCGCTGCAGGAGTCTTTCCAATGCCTGGCTTTCCAAGAATGATCAAGCCAAAACTCAACAAGGTCGGCAGAATCATTGGTACCACCGTCCGCTGGAACTCGCTGTTCAAATCACGGAGGAGAAGGGGAAAGAAGTACTCCGGTTCGGACTGGCTGTTACCGGTGGCCCTGTTGCCACACGCTTTGCCGACAATATGAAGCGGCCAACCACAGATGGGGCTATCCTTGTCGCGAATGTTTAGCAATGACCACAAGAACTGCTCATTCTTGGCATTGGCGAGTGGCGCGTGGTTATTGATGTGCTCAATGCCAGCCCTGAGCTCTTCAGGACTAGGGTCCCATTTCATCTCACCATCACTGTTGGTTTTCACATTGGTAATGCTTTTTTGCACAAGAGCTTGTGTCATCCACATCTCACCTGGTATGCGTGACAAGAGATAGAGGAAGGCCTTCTTCAGCAAGTCGGAGTTATCGGAAACAGCGTAGTTCAAGACTTTGACCTCCTGGGCGCAAAAGGCTTTGGCAAGGCCAAGCGGAACAGGGACCTTCGAATGAAAGAACTTCATCACGGTATAGGTGTCGTTGTCCTGATTGGGCCAAATCACAATCTGGAGCTTGCACTGATCCCCAAGCGCATCTCGTGGACGAACAGAATCGGGTAAGTGACCTATGCGGTTTGGGTCTGAGTTCATGATCTCCACGATGGTATGGTAGTCTGAGGCAGAGACATTCTTGACTACGTGGAAGAACTCCTTGAACTTCTTACCCTTGACGAGGGGCGAATCTACAAGAGGAAGATCTTGGATACTGTGCTCTCCTTCGGTGATCTTGCTGTACTTATGAATGTCATAGTACTGGACATAGGTGTATTTGGATGCGGCCATAGCTTGGTCCATCGCGCGGAGGGGCGACAGTGCTAAAGCTAGATATGTACGGCTACACGATTTCCAGCTAGCTTTCTTTTGAGAGCAGCGAATCAGACGTTACATTCAAGACAAACGCCGTGTTTATAAACAAGGCGGGTGTTTATAAACAGCCCTTGTGTGCAGACAGCGGTTGCTCAACATGCGCAGGCACCAAATGAATAAGTCTCACACTGTTTTGCTACGTGAAAGACGCCACGTCTCGATACTGCTGCAAATCTCCTGCTCAGGAGCTATCCGAATCTACCTCATCAAAGCGATGCTTTGCGGCATAGATGCTCTTGAAGAGATTCTTCAATGCCTGTGTCCGTTTGTTTGAACCGGCGCAGTGCCGATTCAAGACAGTCGTCTGCTGCCAAAGGTCATGCCATTCGGACCCCCATTGACTAACATCTATCACGGGAAGCGAACTGCTGCTGGACGAGTCATCCGAAGAAGTAGACGCGCACTCCGCCTGATCGGACTCAGCAGTGGCTTGCAGGGGAGTCTCTCCATTCTCCGTCAGGGGCTGCTCATGGTCCATGTTCTCCAAGGTCTTGGAAGAAGAGGGCTGTTCTACGTCTTTGCTCGCTTGGGCCGCTGGGGTCTTGGAAGAAGACGGCTGCTCCACGTCCTTGATCGCCAATGGCTTTGAGGAGGAACTCTTAGCCCCTTTCTTCGGTGCTGCGAACCAACGAAGTAGTAGTTCTTGAGCCTTCTCAGACCAACCGCCAGAGATGCCGGCAGTCAACGAGAGCTTGTTCTGCAAGTAGCACATATGGCTCTGCAGCTGTCGCGGCGTGAGACCGATCTTACTCTCGTGTGCACAAATGGCACCAGTTGAGACCTGGTCCAAGAGGCTCTGTGGAGTGGGGAGAGGCACTGTCGTCGATGTCGTCTGCGTCGTCCCAGATGTCGTTGTCGTTGCCACGGTGAGGTTGGCCAGCTCCAAGCGGCATGTGCCGTCGCCTATCTCTATGAAACCAGCTACGGCAGCAGATCTTTTCATATCTGCGAACTCTACTGCTACAGGACTATACTCGAGCAGAATGACTGCCCAGCGTATAAGATCAGACCTTGCGCGATGGCATGGAATTAGTTCTTGAGCCGTAGGCGTAAAAAAAAAAAGTTCCATTGCAGCCGAGGTGCTACAGTAATGTATAACAAGACAGATAAACAGTTATTTTAAGTATAAGTCGTATAAAGAATCGTACTCTAAATGTATTATAGAATGATATAATGGAGCAATTCAATCACAGCATTGCATTCGCAAAACCGCAAAATTGCAAAGATAAACTAGCGAAGCGAAGGTGTTGATGTCGTTGCTGTCGGCGTACCTGACGCAGTAGAGAAAGGGGAGGGGGGGGGTAGCAGGTCTCAACATGTCAGCCCCAAACCCTCAGCTCCCCCCCCCCCCCCCCCCCCTCCCCCTGTTTCATCTTAGTTTGTAAACACCAGCCCTGGTTATAAACACAAGCCATGCTTATAAACACAGGCACTGTTTATAAACACAGACCCTGCTTATAAACAACAACATTATTGATAAGCGACATAAATGTCTACAAGTACGAACAATACAGTAAATAACCTAGAACTGTTTATACAAGCATAGGATAGCAAGATGATGTGAAACAAATCGCTGCGAAACCGCGAAACGTGATGTGTCCCAAACGCAGGCCCCATGGTAGCCCTTTCTGAAACCCTAAGCCCCTAAAACCTCCAAGCGTTAGCGAGGCTACAGAGGGGAACGCTCGACACTTGCATCGCCGGCCCGGACGACATGAAGCTGCACGACTTACGGCTTGGGGTTCCTTTAAAGGGATCTATAAAAGGGTCCTTTAAAGGGGTCAAAAAAAGGATACTGTAGGGTTTCGGCTTCGGGTTTAGGGTTCCTTTGACGGGATCTAGAAAAGCGTTCCTTTAAAGGATCGATAAGGGTTCCGTTAAAGGGATCTAGAAGGGTTCAATAAAGGGGGTTTAGGGTTTAGGGCCGAGGGTTTAGTAGTTTCGGGCTTAGGCTTTAGGGGTATCTTATAGGGTTTGAAGGGTTTAGTTTTAGGGTTCCTGTAAGGGTTGTCTTCGGGTACCTTAATCTAAGGGTGCTATAAGGGTTCCTTTAAGGGTTTTATGCTGTGTTTTCCTTAAACCTTAAACTCTAAAGCTCATAAAGGAATCCATATCGAAACCCTTGAACTAAAACCCAAACCCTACATTCCAAGCCCTTAGCTTTACAGACCCTGTAGACCCCTTGTGGTACAAAGTACACCCCAAAACTAGAAACCCTAAGCCCTACACCTTACTTACGAATCCCTAAGGAACCTCACCCCCTAAACCCTGAAAGGAACCATATCCTGAACCTCAACCCTGAAAACCCCTGCCCTGCAGGCCCTATAGAACCCTTAAAGGAACCATCAGAGGCCCCCCCCCCTAAGGTTACTCCCTCAAACTGGCGAAGAAACCCCTAAACCCTACCTTAAACCCTGAACCTCTAACTCTTAACTGCCTCCTATAGCTAAGGCCCCCCCACCCTTCACAGAACCCTAAAAGGAAAGACCCTAAGGTACACTTAAAGATCCCTCAAAGGGAACCCTTAATAAGGTACCCCTATAGAACCCCTAAAATGAGCCCTTCAGAGAGGAAGAATCTAAGAACCCCTAAACCCTAAACCCTAAACCCTATACCCTTGACGAACCCCCCCCCCCTCAAGAACCACTCATGTGCCCTTAGAGAAGCCCTTGGTTGGGGGCTGAGTAGGTAACCCTTAACACGTTGGCGCTTATGTAATCCTATTATAACTCAACAGGTTAACCTTTTTGGGGCTAGGGCATCCAGGCTCCAAACCCTGAACCCTGCACCCTAAACCCTAAACCCTTACAATAACTTCGAACGTACCCCGAAAAGAACCCTTAACGGAACTCCTCCAAACCCTTACAAGAACTCCTAAGGTACCCCAAAAAGAAGCCTTAAAGGAATTCCTACTTGGAGGGGCAGGGGACTAAGTAAGTAGGTTATAAGTAGAGTCATAAGTACCCTAAATGGAGTTACCCCCGTTATAACCCTACTTATGACCTACTTACTAAGTCCCCTGCCCGTCCAAGTAGACCCTAAATCCTACACCGCATCGATCCCTTTGAGGAACCCTATCCCTGTAGATCCCTTTAAAAGAACTCTATAGATCCCTTAAAGGAACTCCTAAGGTCTTGTCCTTTAAGAGGCCCTTATTCCCTTTCTTAGGGTTCAGGTTCCCTTATAAGTCCCTTTAAACCAAAAAGGGCACCCTTTTCATTCCTAGGTTACTCTTGATTCTACCCTAAGGTACTCCTACAGATCCCTTAAAGGAACCCTTTCAAGGAACCCTATAGATCCCTTCAAAGGAACCCTATAGATCCCTTGAAGGAACTCCTAAGGTACACTCTGAAACTTGCCCTTTAAGAGGCCCTTATTCCCTTTTTTAGGGTTCAGGTTCCCTCATTAGTCCCTTTTAGACCAAAAAGGGCACCCTTTTCATTCCTAGGTTACTCTTGGGTCTACCCTAAGGAACCCTATAGATCCCTTAAAAGAACCCTATAGATCCCTTGAAGGAAGGAACCCTGTAGATCCCTTAAACGAACGCCCCAAGGTACACTCTAATTAAGGGATACTGGGATCTCTGGGCTCCAAAAACCCTAAACCCACAACCCTAAACCCTTACAGATCCCATTATAGGAATCCTTATAGATCCCTTTTAAAGGAACCCTAAACCCCAAGGTACTCTGAAGCTAGGAACTCTATAGATCCCTTAAAGGAACTCCTAAGCTTTGAGGGACCAGATCCCTTAAAGTAACTCCTATAGACCCCTTGAACTCCCCTATAGATCCCTTTAAAGTAAAAGCCAGAAAGTTGGAATATGATTATCCTAACCCTTCTATGGTAAATTATAGGGTATCCTACCATGAAACCATATTCCAACTTTCTGGAGCTTCCTTTAAAGGAACGCCCCAAGGTACACTCTGAAGCTGGCGAAGAACATGGGCCTGGGCCGAGCGCAGCTGGCACCGGCGTTGGAGTTTTACGACAAGCTGGAGAAGCCCGGAGAGCTCAGAGATCCCCACAAACCTAGGGTTCCTTTAAAGGGATCCTTATGGGATCTATAAGGGTTTCGGGTGTGGAGTTGAGGGGTTTAGGGTTTAAAAGTTTAGGGTTTAGCTGGAATATCCCTTAAAGGCTTTAAGGCTTAACGTATAGGGTTCCTTAAAAAGGGATCTACAAGGGTTCCTATAATGGGATCTATAAGGGTTTAGGGTTATGGTTTTGGAGAGCTCAGGCATCCCCCATATACCTTAATTCGGGTTTAGCGGTTTAGGGCTTAGGGTTTAGAGTTTAGGGTTTAGGGTCCTAGGGTTCCTTTAAAGGGATCCTTAGGGGATCTATAAGGGTTCCTATAATGGGATCCACAAGGATTTAGGGTTTAACTGGAGAAGCCCGGAGAGCCCAATATCCCTTAAAGGCTTCAAGGCTTAGGGTTGAAGGCTCCTTAAAAGGGATCTTTAGGGGTTTCTACAGTGGGATCCTCAACGGTTTAGGGTTTTGGGTTTAGAGATTCCAATATTCCTTCATTAAAGAGTATACCTAGGGTTCCTTTAAAGGGATCCTTAAGGGTTCCTTTATGGGATCTATAGGGTTTAGGGCCGTTTAGGGTTTAAGGGATCCCAATATCCCTTAATTACGGACTACCTAGGGTTCCTTTACAGGGGTCCTTAAGGGTTCCTTTATGGGATCTATAAGGGATTTATAGGGTTTAGGGTTTAAGGGATCCCAATATCCCTTAGTTATAGGGGATATACCTAAAGTTCTAGGGGCGTTAATATTCTGCTTTCAGGTATAGCTACTTGCAACAGAGCTTGCCGAATTGCAAGTCTTATGTCAGGAGACGTCTGCCAAAATGGCTCTGCCATTTTGGCCCAAGATCGTGGACCTTGGGTCCTTCAAAATTTGAAACTTTCGCTCCCCCTTTTTTATCGCGACCGTCGATCATGGCATTCACCCCCGTTGCTAATGTCGATGATGTCCTTGCCTCCAGCATGGAGACGGTTGAGAGCTTGGTCCCCCTTCGTGACACAGGGGACAGTGATCCGGAATGGGAGAAGCCGGATGATGATGTGGCCTTGGCCCGTGCTACCCTGGCACACAATCTCTCTGCGCACGAGGATGAGACGGTGAACTCCACCCTGACCTCCTTCACGACTCTGGAGGTGGACGATACTACCTTGGACCAGCGGCTCCAGGAAATGGATGCGGCCATGGCACGTCTGATGACCAAGGGCAGCGAGAAGGTGGTTGTCAAGGAGGAGAGCCAACTGCCAAGCGACATGGCTGCTGAGGTGGCCCACCATGAGGACAGCACCGCTGCCGCCATGGACACGGACCCTGTCGTCTCCCACACATCCACCATGCAAAAGAGGGCTTGCGCGCATGGTGCTTTTTGGTGTGCCATTTTCATGCGGATATCTGACATTATTCCTTATCTAAGGGGTATTGGAATTTCTGGGAGTGTAGGATTTGGGGTTTCAGGTTTAGGATTTGGGGTATCAGGTTTTTAGTCAAGAGTTTACGTGGTTATGTTTTAAGATTTGGGGTTCAGGGTTAGTGGGGTTTCGGGCGGGGTTTAGGGCCTTGAAGCTTAAACCCCAAATCCTAAACCCTACCGCCCAAAAGCCCTAAATCCCCAAACCATGAGCTGAGGAAGCTTCGGGTAATGGAATTAGATCCCAAACGACCATCCATGTCATGGCTTTGGGGACCTCGTTCCATAATGGTAGAGTATATGGAGCCACTGGCTTAGCTCCCTAAACCCTAAACCTTAGAAGGGGCCCCCAGCCTGTAATAGTGGTATAGTAGGAGTATTATAGGGCCTTAATAGAATCCTTATAGTCGCTATTACAGGGTGGGGGCCCCTTCTAACCTAAATTAAATCCTAAACCCTAAATCCTAAACCTTAAACCCTAAACCCTAATTAAACCTTAAATCCCC